TTACACCAAGGGCACTGATGATGTGTTTACTAGCATTCACAAGTACAAGGACTTAACTTTTGTATTAACTGAATTGTGGTTTTTGCTTAATAGATACCTTCATGCTTGTCCGCTGTGCCTTCAATGACTCATCATATCTTAATATCACACTATAATGGCACATAAGCTGATTGTTAGGTGGATTAGTGTGGTTAAAAAAAAATTGCTTAAAATATTAAAAAAATTCAGTAAAAACAAAAAAAAAACGAAAAATAAGAAAATAAAATTTTTTGAAAAGTGCTTTTTGAAAAGTGAAAACAAACAAGGTGATAATTTTTTAAGAAACGTGTTTACTAAAAGAGTTTTTATTTCAAAATATTACATTAAAAACTTTCTTACTAACAGAGTTTTTTAAGAAATGTAAATTTTTTTTACACAAATCTAAAAAAATTTCAAGAAAGACAAGTTTGGGGGGGTGTGGTGGGGTTGGAAATGTGGCCTTTTAGCTGTTCCCAATCAAAGAAGGTTGCATATGCTTGTTTACTTGTGAACTGAAAAACTAGAATCTATGTAAAAAGGAAGAGAAAATATACCTGGGACCCCACAGAGCTCCCCCACAATCAAAACAACAAGAGCCAAACTTGTCCTCTAGCTGGAGGCAGCGGTTCAAGCAGAAACTAATGCTGTGTTTGGTTGAGGGATTTAGATATAAAAAGGGAAAAAGTGTGAAATTAGATGAAATATAGGTATATTTTATTCACATTTTACTTAACTTTTCATTTTCTCTTTCCAAATCCTCCCTCAAAACCCCAACCAAATATAGCGTAAAGGAAACAGATCGGAGAGTTAATGGGATTGGGCGAGAGAATAGGTTGGAGAATTTGCATGAGCTTCTTGTTGTTGGTGGTGGTGGAAAAGTACCCAACAATATGTCAAAGGGTTCCCCCAAGGATTGGCTAGATCCACGCTGCCACGAGTCTCATTTTGAGAGGTGGTATCCTCGGTAATTGTGTTGAGTTCAGTCCGATAGCTTGAGATAATTTTCAGTGAGAGCTTGATTCCGGGTACTTGACTACGACCATATATATATATATAGTTTTGCATTTTGAGAATAATCTTGTGTGAGGAAGCTAATATTGCAGATGCTATATTAATGAATTTAAAGATTGCTTGCTTTTGTGTGTTGCTGTTTGGCATTGCCATAGACCAGTGTTTTATGCATTAGATAAGTCCATCCCAATTTGACTTAATTGTGATGACTGTATTTTCAATCACATTGGAGCCTTTTAATTTGAAAAATTCTCACTTTCATGACCAATTATGAGCAACTTGTGCTTGCACATGCATTATTATGCCTTACATATGAGTAGGTTTTGCTGCAAGTTTGGTGGATCAATGTATCTTTTGATAAAGAGAAGGGATAAGCCATTCATGTTGTTGTTCTGGATACAGAAAAACTGATGAAATTTATGAAATTGCAACACAGAGGATTGGTAATTTGTATTGCAACTATAAAAAAGAAAAGAACTTAATTTTAAGATATTGTCTATCTTAAACAAATCACTGCAGATTTATTAGAAAATGCTCTACACAGGACATTCACTACAATGTAGAAGATGTTTTGAAGTTGTGATTTTTTATATGGCTCAATGTATACAATTGAAACAAAATTAGAATTTCTAACCACTGTTTTATTTGCTTATGTCATGACTCAAAATTATTCATAATTGACAATTATTTTTCTGATTATGGGTTATTATTTTCTTTATTTTATACAGAAAATTTTAGAGAAGATCGATACAGGAGATCATTTTCCTGTACTTGCCATCTACTTAGGTTTTGAACTTTTAACAATGATTATCAGCAAGGTAAACTCTACAAAAACACAGTTATCTATATCAAATGCCTATGTTTGCTTTTGTTGCAATTCACGAATTTTCAGCCTTTAATTTTTTCTGATACATACCCGTACCTCTTAGCTAGAATCTTGAAAATTTTCACTTTATGAAATCATAGAAACCAATTTTATTGATCTGTATGCTAGATATATAAACTTGTTTGCATTGATTGGTACTTAACAACTGATTTCAAGTTCACATGTGTGATTTGGATGAATTCTCAAAATTGTCTTCACCCTTTTTACTTTTGTATTGTCATTTAGGTCATGACGTCTCAACCCAGATCAATTCTTTATATTAATCTTCCTACTCTGTGAAAATTAGATAACATGTTTCTGATAAGTTTTTTTTTTTTCTTTTTCCCAATAAATATGCTCCTTACAAGATTTTACCTACAATTGTTTCATGGTTCATTGCTTGTATTGTCCCTGCTCTTGTGAGGTCATTCTGAATTCAAGCCTCTCATTCACAGGAAATATTAGACAGTTTTGTCAATAGAGAGTTCTGGTATGTTGACCAAAGAATATTAGCCCCGGATATTGATAAGTCATCCTCTTTCCGGTGACCCCTTCCACGGCAAGAGGAGAAGTGGTGGCTACCTGTGCCTCGAGTTCCTCCTGGTGGCATTAGTGAAAATTCAAGAAAGCATTTGCAGCTCAGACATGATTGCATGAATCAAATTCTAAAAGCTGCCATAGCTACAAACAATGTTATGTTAGCTGATATGGAAGTCCCAAAATCATACTTTGAGTCTTCCAAAGGTATATATATCATACCATGAAAACATTTTAGTTTGAAATATGAGAAGCCTTATTTATTTATTTTTCTTGTACTTGGTTCCAGCATGGAAGAGCCAAAATGTCTTACAACACCCATTGTTGCTACGTTTGACAAAGTCAGCAGCACAAAAAGATGACACAAAGGAGGAAATAATTCTTATAAAAGAAATCATGCAGAATATGGAAAATACTTCTGAAAATACAATGATGAGACCCAATAACACTTGTCAACAATATCGCAACCTCCATGCGCAAGATCTTCAAAGATCTTCGAAGATCTTCAAATTTTCCAACGACATTCTTGAACCCACTCATACATCGTCAAATGTATAACTGGGTTCAAGAACGTCGTTGGAAAATTCGAAGATCTTTGAAGATCTTTGAATAAAATTCGAATTCTCTAGAAATGATGAGAGGCTTAGATTCTTCAATAGTCGCAACTAAAAACACAATAGCAAAGGAATGATGAAGATAAGAGATTGGGTGAAGAACAAGGCAAAGTAGTTAGAGAGAGAGAATAATGGCAATGCTCTCTCATGAATCTTCCACTTTCACTCTCAAGGTTGATAATGGAGAAGGGAAGTTAGTTCTTTCCTAAGAGTTATCTCTTCAAAATACATCCCTTGTAAAGCTATGGGTGGATGCTATTTATAGGCACCTCATGATGTAGGATGGAGCCCATGTGCAAGGCATATGGGGAATATTCTCTCTAACCACCTTGTCCGAGGAAGTGACTTCTTTGAGGATGAGGAAAATCTGGAAGAGGAGATCAACCTCTCGGCGAACCCTTCTTCTTAGCCACACCTAACCAATGATCCCCAATCATCCTGAAGGGTTAAGGGTAGTCCTAGAGGACGTCCTGCCGCAGAAGGGTCAGGGGTAGTTCAAGAGAACGCCCTACTGCAAATATTGCCGAGTCTAAGGGATCCCCTAAATCGTGCCACCTCGACCCGAGTATAGGCTAGTTTAACCGAAGAGTGAATTTATCCCCACTCACCGTCCTCAGGATTGAGTCCTTTGTTTGGACTCCATTACGCCTATGGTTCTGGTACGTAGATCTCGAAAATCTCCGAGTCCGCAAGTGTTCTGGGACTCATTAATGAAGCGGCTTCTAGATTGCGTCTGAATCCGTTCGAAGCCAAGTGCTTCGGATCTCTAGGTTCGTAAATTCAAACCCTTTCGAGTCTGGGCCTAAGTAAGTCTCTAAGTCCGTGGATCCGAACCCTTTCGAGGCTTAGAGCGATTCAACCCATTTGATGGCGATAAATCCGGGCCCACCAATCTTGGACTTCCGATAAATTTAGGCCCACCAACGTTGGACTATTGGGGCTAATTAATTTAGTAGGCTCAAATTAGCTTCTCTTACATTTGCCCCTTGCGTGTATGAGAAATTTTAGTTTTCTCGAACATGCATAGTTTCACCTTTTCAGCCATGCTTCGCATTACATTTTTGGGAATATTTTGTCTTTGATAAAGTCTAAGGATAAAACTGATATCTCATCGTAATTTACGAATAAAAGTAACAAATAAGAATTGCGATAAATTCGGGCCCACTAATCTTGGGCTATTGGGCCTAAATAATTTAGTGGGCTCAAATTAGCCCCTCTTACAGAAAGCAAACGACATCTTGAACGATCTATCATCATCTTGTCGGCAATTTGAGAAAATAAGACAATTATTTATTTATTTTAGGGGTATCAGGATAACATTGTTGGTTGCTTGAGTAGTGCTTGGAATGTGTTCGATGAAATGTACAAATGAAGAATTTGATCATGTAGGTGTTTGGTTAAAAGACAATATGGTGAGAGTTTTTAAAGTAAAACCAAATGCTTTTAGGGCTATATAATGTGAATGATTTGAGTTTGGTTGTTAAGCTTGAAGATGAGATGTTGAAACCTATAATTAGTTCACTTTTCAAGGTCAGTTGCAAGGAAGATGTTATTGGATCTTTAGAGGAAATGCTAGAAAAAGAGTATAATCCTGATTGTATAGTTATTTTATTGTGCAATGATATGTGGGTTTTGCTATGCTGTTTAAAGTGCGATGACAGAGAAGAGGTGTAAATCAGATGTTATTAGACCTAGTTATAATGTACTTACTGGAGTTTTTTGCAGGGAGAGAAAATTGATGGAAACAAATGAATAATTTGGAGATACGCCGAGACAGAATTGTGCTTCTGATGTGATGAAATTGTTGGACATTATTTGATGGGCTATGTTGCATTTATTTTAAATGAGATGGTTTTCAAAGGTTATGCCATTATTCTGCAAGTATAATAAGATTTGCTCTTTCATTTTTACCAATTTGAACTATATTTCTCAACTTCATTCATTTTTTAATTATCATGGCTCGCAATACCATGAAAATGATTCTTAACGACTTTGACGGTGATGACGAATTGCAGTTAATAACGATAGCTGCAATGGAAGAAGAGCTACTCAATAGAGAAAGATGTTTGAGAAGACGTAGTGGTTCCATTGAAGGCCATGCAGTTATTCATCGCGATCGAGTTCAAGGCCATGAGAGGCTTTATCGAGACTACTTCTCAGAAATAGCTATATATCCTGCCCATTTATTCAGGAGGAGATTCCGGATGAATCGATCTCTCTTTTTTCATATTCTATCTACAGTGGAAGCATACGATCCATATTTTGTCCAGAAACACAGATGCTGTTGGAATCATTGGTTTGTCTTCCCTTCAAAAAATGACAGCTGCTATGAGGATGCTCGCTTATGGAGTAGCAGATTCAGTGGACGATTATGTGAGAATTGGTGAAAGCACCGCCATGGAGAGTCTAAAACACTTTGTTAAGGCGGTGGTTGCAATGTTTTCTGAAACGTACTTGAGGAGCCCTAACAACGATGATATTTCAAGATTATTAGCGATGGGAAGCGATCGCGGGTTTCCTGGTATGTTAGGGAGCATTGATTGTATGCATTGGAAGTGGAAAAATTGTCCTACTGCACGGAAATGTATGTATTCTGGTCACATCCATGAACCAACTATTATTTTAGAGGCTGTGGCTTCTCAAGATTTATGGATATGGCATGCCTTTTTTGGGATGCCCGGATCTCATAACGACATCAATGTATTAGATCGTTCTTCTGTATTTTCACTCCTTACTCAAGGTCGTGCTCCTCCAGTCAATTACTCAATCAATAGAAATGATTATACGATGGGATACTATCTTGCCGATGGTATATATCCGCAATGCGCAACATTTGTCAAAACAATCTCATCTCCACAAGGGAATAAGCAAATATATTTTGCAAAAGCTCAAGAATCGGCAATGAAGGATGTTGAGCGAGCATTTGGTGTGCTCCAAGCATGTTTCGCGATTGTGCGAGGACCTGCACGTTTTTGGAAAACGGAAATAATGGAAGATATTATTATGGCATGCATAATAATGCATAACATGGTTGCTGAAGATGAGAGGGATGACAATGGATTAGACTTTATCATAGCGTACACCAGAACTTTTTGAATTCATTCAAAATCATCATCGCATCAGAGATAGAGGAACTCACTCCAAACTCAAACAGGACTTGGTCAAACACTTGTGGACACTACACGGAGACTCCTTGTGAAAAATACTAGTTGGTTCTTATTGATTTATGTACTAGCTTATATGCTTTAGTGAGTGTGTTTTCAAAAATATTTGTACTATTTTATGTGCTTTCAATAATATATCAATAATGATTTGTTTTTAATCTATGATCTTTAGTGATACTTAGAATAAATTTTTTCTGTCAATAAATCCCTAATATGGAGAATATGGAGAATTCTTAATCTTTCTTTACATCTCTCATTAATTTTGAAATCCAGGACTTGAATGGACAAGAATTCAAACCAACAAAATTCAAAGCACTGAGTGGTTTAAAGAGCAAAAATATAAATAGCACTAAATGTAAACCAGCAGAATTCAAACTAGGACTTGAATGGACAAGAATTCAAACCAACAGAATTCAATCCAGGATTTAGTGAGTGGTTTAAAGAGCAAAATATAAATAGCACTAAATCCAAGTCAAAGCACTAAAATCCAACAAGAATTCAAACCAGCAAAATTCAAAGCGCTGTCTCCATTTCATATTTCAAAGCACTGTCGCCATTTCATATTTCAACCAGCAAAATTTGAAACAAACCCAACTCTAAATCCAAGTCAAAGCACTAAAATTCTGAATACCAAAAACAGATGTGCTAGCAAACCCAAAAATAAAATCCAGTCAAACTTAAATTAAATAAAAACATAGCTTCAAAACTAAATAAAAACAATTAATTCCTTTTTTCAAGGATTTGCAACTGACGTTGGCAAATATATTGTGCTTGCAATGGAGGCATAATGCTCGTATCCATTGACATGATTCTCTCTTCCTCTCTCCTTTCCTCCAATGCAAGCCTTCGTTCCTCTCTCTTTTCCTCATTTTCAATCCTCCGTTCCTCTTGAAGATAAGATTTCTCAAATATCTCTATTTTCTTCTCATTTGTTATGTCATTCTTTACCTTTATCTCTTCTAAGAGCTTCACAAAAGGCGACTCTGTAACATTATTTCCAAGATCTTTAGCTTTGTTTTTCTTTGCGGCCTTCCTTCCTATTGGTCTTTCCACAACATCATAGTTATCATTGTTCTCTAAGTTTACTGAATCTGGTGTACAAGGGGTTGACGTTGCCGGAGATGCATTTTTTGTGCTTTTTTGCTTCTTTGTTGTTGTATCTTCCATCCACTTTGGTTGGGATCTCAATTCATTCCAACAATGCTCAAAGGGAAAGTTCGAGTGATACAAGTCTTTGTACAATTTTTTCGCATCCTGAATCTGAAAAATAGATTAAAGAATAATCACTATCACGCAATGAATAATATATATTCATTATAGGTACAAAATTAAATTGTAGTAATACCTTGTCTTTTTCAGTCGAACCACTTCGATTTAACCGTTCAACTTGAGCAAAACATCCACAAAATTTATTTGTGGCAAGTTGAATCGTCGACCACCGATTCATTAGAGAAGTTTGAGTTCTTTCAGAATCGAAGGTTTTGTACTTGTTGTAGTTCTCCCACACTCTTAACCAATATGCCTTTGACTTTTGCTCATTTCCTCTAATTGGATCTAAGCTAATATTAAGCCATGAAGATATGAGCATCATGTCTTCCTCTTCGGTGAAATTCCTTTTGCGTTGTGATATCTTTGTAGTTTGAGTAATAATTTCAAGAGAGAATGATAAAGATTGACTCTCTTGTTGAGGAGATTCAGTGGTAAAATCATGGTCAACGTCAAACTTGTTCATTAGGTTTCTAAAATACGCATTTCCTTGATATTCCATCTAAAGCACAATTGTTCATACCACACAAAAAGAAAAGAAAAGAAAAAGTATCAATTCATGGCCTAATTCCAAAAATAATGAATTAGGGAATGGTGGACATATTAGAACAAAGTAATTTAAAATTGGAACAAATCTGATTCATAATGGACATAAACATCTTTGAAAGTAATTTAAAATTGGAACAAATCTGATTCATAGTGGACATAATTGAACATCTTTGAAAGTAATTTAAAATTGGACATAATTGGACATAATGGACAAATCTGATTCATAATGGAACAAAGTAATTTATAAGTGGACATAATTGGACATCTTTTAAAGTAATTTAAAAGTTTCCTGATTCACAATTGGAACAAATCTGATTCATAATGCATAGAAAGTAATTTGATCCCATTTAAAATTTCCCTAATGTATGGGAACTAATCTAATTCACAATTCAAAGAAAGTAATTTAAAATTTTCCATGCTCTCGATTTAAAACAACTGGTGATAATCAACTGGTGATAAAAAAGAGTTTAGTGGTTTCTGAACATATGTCATTACTGTATTTTTTAGAATATAGATATAAAAATTATAAAACATAGACAAACTATAATTTCTTCAAACATGCTATCCTATGAAGCACACCAATGTATTTGCATCTATACAGATATATAAACATATTTATGGTTAGAAATTAATTTTCTTTAAGTATCTATAGCCTACCTTGAAAACAATATGTGACAATTCTTGTGTAGCATTAATAATTAGAGCATCAGTTATAGCAAAAAAAATTAGAGCATCAGTTGCTTAGAATCGCATGATTCATAATTGTTTAGTACAAAGCCAAGTCTCAGTGCTCAAGACTCAACTAATAAAACAACTTTCATAGACATTTCTCAAACACTTACAAAATAGACTAATTAATTAGCAGAGCAATCAGTAACACATAATATAAAACATGTAGAGGACAATTCTTTGAGGCAATTCTTGGTTGGAATTGTGGGGTAATATAATATAAAACAATCAGTAACCCTCTACACATCAGTAACAATCAATTCTTGGCTGCAATTAGTAATAATCAATAACACATAATATAAAACATGTATAGATTCTTGGCTGGAATTGTGGGGTCAATTCTTTGAGGCAATTTATTGAACATGTAGAGGACATTGGAGAAATCCCTCTACACATTGAAAAACCTATCATCAAGCAATCTACAAAAGCAAATACAACAAAATATAAAAGCGAATCACTCAATCTACCAGGCACATTGCATAAACACTGAATATAAAACCCCAAACCCAATTTTTTACCCAAAAAAAAGTATCGAATGCAGCTTTAAATATACAAAAATAGCATGAAAATACAGACCAACAAACAAAAATCATTAATTTTGACAATGATGCGCCCTCAAATCTGATAGCTTCAAATAAATCATCAACGGTTTATACCCAGTGCCTATCATCAATTTCCTAATGAACAATTTCAGTACACAAACCCAATTTTTTTAAATGGATTGCCCTAAATCATGTATTCCTTTGTAGATAGATGATGGGGAAGAACAGGGAAATAGAGAAAGAGAAAGAGAGCCATACCTGGGATCATCAATGGGTTGGAACAGAGATGGAACAGGCAGCGATGGGGGTCAACACAATGGCAGGAAAAGCGTTTTGCCTAGCAATGGATGCTGGCTACCTATGGAGAGCGAAAACGAGAATTGGCAAAATGCCTCTTCAGTTGCAGAGCCCGTTGGAGCTTCGAAATCCAACTTCAATAAGCAAAATGCCTAATTCTCTCCTTTTGGCTCCTGCGTTGGAGATGCTCTTAGCCTTAGCACATTTGAGGCCATCTAAGTCAAACTTTTCCCTTTTCTTTTATATTATTTTTTTTTCTTTTGAGGATAAGGACAAAAACACCTAATCTTTCTTTTTTTGGCAAGACCTATTCGGCAGGCACACTTTCTCTCTCTAAAAAGAGAGACCAAGCTTCTTCTTCTTCAGGAAGCTCTATTTCTATAATACCAAAGGCTGCTGTCGTGTAGTGCACTGGCCTCCATCGCAGCTCCAAGCAACGCTATTGCCGAAGACCCACACCACTGTGCACGCCGTCCGTCGCCATAGCTTTGGTTACCACTAGTGTCGCATCTCAGCCACTGGTTCATGCCGACACCAGGCCAGCTCGTTGCTGGCTGGCCTATCCTTCGCACCCGATGCCTTGTGCCAACGCCAAACCAACCTATCGTCAACCTTTCTTTGCCGAAACTTCACCTCTGGCCTCGGCTGCATAACGCCAACCACACGCCGCCCACTCAACGCGTCGTGTGGCCTTGCTTAACGTCGCTCCGCTCGTCCCCCTCTCGGCCCAACAATACCTTTCAGAAATCAGACCACACAGCTCAGTTTTACTTGCACAGTGCTTACTCTGCCCATTTCTTTTATTTCTTCTACACTACTTCAGATCTGTAAACTATTTTCTGCCGAAACCCTCTTCTCCTTATATTTTTGGATCTGTGGGTAAGCTTTTATGAAGACTCATTTTTGTACTTCAAAAAACACATTTATGAACTTCTTGCAATGGATCTTCAAATGCTAATTTTCTTTTGTGAGTCTTGAGTTTTTGATTGTTGCTCATTGTTTTTTTTTTAGAAAGAAAATAAGACTATGTTAAACCCTTATTAATTGCTTGGCCATTGAGAGAAAAGAAATGCTCTGATATTGATTTTTCTAATCTTTGTTTTACTGAGGTAGCTGAATCACCGATTTTGAACATAATATATCTGTTGATAATGCTTGATAACATATATTTTGAATCCTCACTTGGGATCTGAACTATACTGATGTTGTGACTTGTTAAATCTAAGAATGCTGAAATTTTGCTGCTCACTTATGTGTCTGAACTACTGTTACTAGATCTTGAACTCATGTAGACAAATTTGACATAAATAGAATATTTGATGCTTGCATTGAACTATTGATGTCAAGGGTAGAGATGTGATAGGAATGATTTTTGTTGCTAGCTTCGAAGATAGTGGATGTCATTCTTAAACTCTTGGCGTAGAATTCTTCGTAGAATTTGTTAATATGATGAAACACCTTACTTGAGCTCCATCTACTTGATGAATGAATTTTGATACTTTTTTTATGAACACTTTGGTTGAGAGAATGAATTTCCATGATATAGAAC